GAAGAATGAGGTTCAATGAAACCCTAATCTGGAAATTTTCCATAATACTACTTCCAACCATGAAATATGCTCATAAATTACCAAAACTACAACTTTAAACCACTAATTAGCAATTAATTGAAGTAAAGAGGATGTTCTAGGCAAAATACCTTAAAACCACAAGAAAGGTAGGAGCTTAATCTTTCGTCCTCCAAAATAACTCCACCAACACCTTTAACCTTCCCTAATGATCACTTGTATGGTGTGGTTTGTGATTTGGTTGGTTAAAACTCAAGATTGAAGCTAACAAGTGGAGTAGAAAATGAAGTTTTTCTCTCTTATTTTGCTCCTCTTAACAACCGGCCATGACAAGAAAAATGGGAGAAAAATTGAGTCAAAATTGCTTTTAGTAAAGTTAGAAAAGTCTTGGTCAAATTCAACATCTAATGGTTTTGTGACACTTGGCACCTCTAAGCTTTAATCTTATTTTCTTGTCTCTCCATACTAATCCATATAGGTAACTTCTAATTCTCTCTTAGCACCTTGTAAAATAAGATCATTTAATACAAACTCCAACAAGTTGCCAAAATATAACGCATTTACCGCACTAGCGGGTCCCACGTCGATAATACACTTCAAACTTAACGTGGACTAACTTGTATCAAGAAAATGATTTGAAAACTATATTCCCTTATAAAAATGTATAAGAAATTAATATATTGAAGAAAGACATAAAATTATAGACAAGAAAACAAAATAATATCTCGAAAATATATAAAAATTTTCGAGTTCTCACACTCATTCTTTCAGAGCGTTACAAATACAAATGTAGTAAAACATCTATCATATACAGGTCATGGACAACTGAAAATTTGAATAGAATTTTTTTTGTTATTAAGATTACATGATAGTCTTTTTTTGGTAATTATATTATGATTTTGTTTTTACATGAAATGGTTTTATTTTAAATTTTACAATAGATTCCATGGGCATGTAATTTTTTCAAATGGTTGGATCCTATTTTTAAAGACATGCTAAAAAAATATCGGATCTTCTTTTCAAGTAATTTTTTATTACTTATTATTACTTTGAAGTCATTAATGTTTCTTTGTTAAACCATTAGTGTTAGCCGTTGGTCAAGAGGGAAAAGCGCGACAAAAATAACACCAAATCTTAAGGGCGAGTGCAAATAACACTAAATCTTAGGAGGCTTAGTGGTTTTAAGCTCTGTTTTTAAACTCTGACCGGACCGGTCGATCCGACCGGTCAAATCGGGAACCGGTCAGTTGTCCAGTCTGAATTGACCTTAAAAACCGAAAAAATAAAAACTCGATCAAATCAGGTCAAAAACCGGATTTGACCCAATTTGACCAGAAAAATAAGAACCGGGCAAGTCATTTGCAAGCCCCTTCGCTTGGTTTGGTTGGGGAGTTTCGGGCTAGGTACAGAGCAAAGACTAAAAGTGGAAGTCCAAAAAGGACAAACTTGCAGAATCATCTTATCAGAAGCCATAGACTATTAGGACACTCCTTTCTCATCTTCCAGCAAAATGGGCCCCAAGGTCGATGGTCTGTTGTCCATAATCTCTTCACACTCCATATCAACCTCGACTTCTCCATTTAACTTACAACTCTCTTTTATCTGCCGAGGTTGGCACCAATTGCAGGCTTTGGAACCACTTCACTCTCTTTTTTTTTTTTTACTATTTTTTGAAAAGTCAAAATATTTTTAGTATTATGTTTTGACCTCAAGGTTGTTAAAAATTATTAATATAATCCAAATATTTCATACTTTATAAACATTTTCGTAAAGTTTGGTATTATTTTTCAATTAAGTCCATAATTTTAATTCTAAACTTGTTAATGCTCATTAAATAATATAAATTGCTACTTGATTGTTCTAATTTCTTTGTATTTTCTTGTCAAATATATTTAAAACATCATATATATATGAATATACCTTTATTAATATTAACATGTTATTAGGTATTTTACATATCATATTTTAATTTTTAAATAATTTTTATTTATGACATCATCCGGTTCAACCCCGATCGAATCCGATTGAACCCATTGATCCCGACTGAGTCGATACCCGGTTCGGTTTTGAAAACATAGGTTTTAAGTTTTAACCCTATCAGCACCTTATTCGAATCATCTACTCTCAAACATAGTTGTCAAAATCGCGATCCGGATCGTAGGATCGTACGATCCTACGATCCGGATAATCAAAATCGATCCGGATCGTATGCAGAGTCGCAAATCATATTAATTTTTGCAGGATCGCATAGAATCGTAGCAGGATCGTGCAGGATCGTGTAGGATCGTGTAGGATCGTAGGATTGTAGGATCGGTAGGATCGTACGATCCTACAATTTTTTTTGTAAATTTGTGAAATACGAAGCTCCATTTTGCAAATAAATAAAAATATTTGTGGTATATTTATAATTTATCAAAGAATTGCAACCTTTAATTGCAATTAAGAGCTTTTGGTAGGATCTTACGATTCTACGATCCGATCCTGTGAAACTAAAATCGATCCTACTTAGGATCCCGATTTTACAAATCTTGCTCTCAAAATGTGTACATAAAGATCATAATCTGTTTTGAATCCACTGATGGCCGACCATTTAAACTTGATGGCTTGGAAATACTTGGGCCTTAGCCTAGAGGCCCAGAGACAACGATAAGATTTTCTGTTACAAGATTATTGAACTGTACCATTACCACTTCGCATGCCATGTCAGCCCAGATTGAAAGTTCTTAAATGACACGACTGGCTTCATCAATTCGTAACGTCTAATTGTAGAAGTAGCATTTTATCTGAGAAAAAAAAAAGGACCAAAAATTTTCCGACAAAAAAAAGGAATTATTTTCTTGTACACCTTTAGTGTAAGAATTTCATTACACTAGCAGGACTGAATACAAGCTACATAATCTCCATTCAAATTTAAAAATTCACTTATTATATATGTGATATGCATTTATACCTGTCAATATTAAAAAAAAATCTCTACATTGGTAGAGCATAAAAAAAAATCCCAAAAAAAGGACTAAAATTCCTTGCCCAAATCAACAATTTATTGCCAATTGATTTTCACAATTAACATATAGGTCCGGTTGACTAAGGGAGGTGATCAGGTGAACCGATCCCAAGTCAACTTGCCCAGATTAGATCTGGCGAAGGCCCAATTACAAGGCATTTCTTGCATTTTCATTTATTGCGCGTGATTGAAGTTGTCACGATCTGATCCATGCCTCCCAAATATTATTTGTCAAAATAGTCATGCATTATTTTTACCCCCCCCCCGTCCTTTCTTTCTCCTCTTGTTGCTTCTCTATTTTTTATGCTTTTTTGATTTTTTTCCATAATATGTGTGCAATAATCCTTTCTTTTATTTTTTACTTTCATTCTTAAAGTTTTGAAAGATAGGTATAACAAGTGTTACCAATACTCGAAAAGTTAAAAAGAAAACTCGATTCTTATTCGATGTTATGCTTTTATTCACGAAACTGTTAAAGTTCTATAAGTCTCATGTTTCAACTTAGAGTTTTGGGATTCTACCCATTTATTTATATTTAAATTACAACAATTTATAAAATCATCCAACCATGTCGTTGCTTTTCTTTTGATCTCTAGATCAAACTACTAAATATTGTTATTCTTTTGAGAAAATTTAATATTCGATCAATATCTGTGAACTATTTGAACAATAAAAAATGGGCCAGAATTGCAATAAAATTTTCAAAAGTTAGGCAATTTCACATGAAATTTTATGTATAACTAATCCAAGTGATCAAACATACTAAATGGTATTAATTTTCAAAAATAATTTTTAAATTAATTTTATTAGGGTATATTGGAGGGAAGTTCTCTCTCATGTAACAGAGATAGCCTAGCCCCTTCAACTTGCATGTTCCATGTGGTTCTTTTATTTTGGTTGGATGGCATAAAACTCGGTCTAAGATAGAAATTTTCAATTCAAGCATTCTTTACTGAATATCCTCTTGTTACTTTGTGCATTACTTTAAAATCTACTCTTATGGACATCCTCCGGCTTCGGAAAACTAGAATTTAGTATTCCCAATTGCCTTTTCTCTAGTTTATAAAAAAAAAAAAGTTAATCAGAAAACCATATTAACTTATTTGCATCAATTATTTATTCCAAGACGTTACAAAATAGTGAAAAAGAGGAGGCCTACTTCTCTTTTTTTTCTAATTCAAAAAACAATCCCAATGTAGCTTACTTCATCACATTAGCTTTATTTTAATACGTTGAAGTCAGACTACATCAATCTTCTTCTTCTTCTGCTCTATTCTATATGCAATAATATCAAGAAATATGGCAGTTCAAAAAAAAATTTTTTTTCTGTTGCCATGCTAGCTACAACTACTTTTCTTCCCTTTAGTTTATGGTAGATTTATGCAACATCAGTTGAAGTATTCAGAGTAACGTGGACATAATTAAGAGGAGAGTACTAGAAAGACTTGATTACTTGAACCATTTTGTTTACTTTAGGTTATTAGAGATCTTATAACTTGACGCGTTTGGCATCCTCCATGTAGAACAAGATAGTGTATTGGTATTCTATGCCTTTTATTATTATTATTGGTGAATCCTTAGAAAAACATACTTTTATGTGTGCTTCAATCCACTTGTCTCCTCTTGAATTATGAAGAAACATCCCATATGGGATTCAAGATAAATTGACAACATGGTAAAGAATTAATGAAAAGATTGTGCAATGAGATGGTTGTGATGTTTTATGGTAGGTGACTGAACAACCACCATGAACTCACTTGCTGTTTCCGTGTACATTATTAAAATTTCTTCTTTATCTCCTCATCTCATCACTTTTAGATACATGTCGAAATTTTTCAACACCTCACTGATTTTCCTTCATTCCCAAGTAAGAATTATTGCCCCCCAGATGAGTATTTTACTCTTCAAAAGAAGTACTACAGCTCAAGTAGTGTAAACGAAAGAATGAAATTCAAGAAAAGGATTGTTGCATCATAATATCCATTAACATGAATAATGAGGTGTACATGTTTCAGAAGCCAAGGAAACAAAAAGGTTATTTTTCTGCCAAACAAGTAAAGAATCATGTAAATAATGAAGCAGAAAATCAAGGGTTGTGATTAACTGACTAGTGAGATGGAATAGGGGCTACTAAGTGGCTAATAAATTAGCCCAATGGAATAATAGTTACTGCTGTGGACATTTCAATTGTGAAATGAATTAATGAATCTGTACACTTGAATTAAGGCTAGAAAGCAGGATGGTCAGTTAGAGCATCCCCACCAGTGGCTCAGGCTTGTGGTTGCTTGCAATCCACCAAGGGCTGAAGTAGACTTGGTCACTGCCCTCTTCTTCAGCAGGAGCAGGCAAGTTGAGATCCAGGAAGTCTCTGATTTCAGGAATTTGCTTCTGAATTACAATTCCTTGATTGCTTTTGGCCTCAGCAGCCAAGTGTGCCCTCTTGTGACCACCTAAGGCTTGACCTGATGGGAAAAGTTTGAAGCATATTGGGCATTCATGGCTTTTGTCTTTCTTAAATCCATAATCTGTATGAACAGTCTTGATCTCCTTGGACCCATAATCTGTCATTTCGACCTTTTCTTTGGAACCATCGGTGGTGGTATCAATATCCTTGCTGTAGCATTTGATCCTCAGTTTGCTGTCAGCAGTTTGATTTGGGGAGATTTCAGTTTCAGTGCTGTTTTCACTGCTATCAATTTTCGAACCCAAACAGCCTTTCATCCTCTTGTGGCTAGCCCTGTGACCACCTAAAGCCTGATAGGAATGGAAGGCCTTGTTACAAGTAGTACACTCAAATTTGCTTTTCCTATCAGAACCCAGATACAGCAACTCAGAATCAGAAACACCACAAGCCAGTTTCGTTATTGAGTAATCTGCACTCAATTCTGGATCATCATGCAAAGCGATGCACCTTCTTTTGCTCAAATTCTGCTTCTTGGATTCTGATTCAGACTGATTCTTTGGCAATTCAACTTTAGACTGCTGGAGTTCAGCACCCTCCTCCACTTTATTCTTTTTAATAAAGACATCTCCAAGAAAAGCATCAGTTGAAACTTCTGAACTCTTCACTCTGAACTCTTTTCTCGACATTCCAGAAGCTTTACTTGGTTCTGGTTGCTTAATCTTGGACTTCATCTTAGAGTCAAGACTAGAGGACTTTAAAATCTTGCTCTCAGTTTTACAATCTTGCTTATTTTGATTTGATGATCGAGCTTCTAAGAACTCAGAATTATAATCAGAGGACTCACCCCCACCAACCGATTTCAGACCACCCCAGTTACTCGCATCCCTCGAAAGCATTATCAAACTCATAGCAACCTCTTCTTGTTGTTCTTGCTCATGATTCTCAGTTACGCAGGGTGAAGGTTGTGCAATTGTTAAAGGAGCAGTATTAATATTTTTAGTAGCTTTGTACCTTTTGATTGTTCTTGATCTCTGCTTTCGAATTGGAGCTGCTGCTTCATTATCAGATTGGCTATCCATGACCAGCTTTTGATTAGCAGCAGCACTGTTCCAAGAATCGTCCTCCACACTGGCACTGTTATTTGATAATACTTTATCAGAGTGGCACTTCATGTGACCAAACAAGGCTTTCCAAGATGGAAAACATTTGCCACATTCCTTGCAGACTTTGCTATCAAGTGAAGTATCTTCACTTGAATTTGCAGCAAATTTACTTGTTTTCTTGGGATTCTCTCGAAGGCTGTAACCATTTTGAGCTTCTTTAGAGGAATCATCTCGATTACCAGTCTTGAAAGATGGCAACCTTTTCTTGCCATGCTTCTCGTTGGATTCAGCTGGAATATTGATCAGATGGGACCTCATATGACCCCCTAAAGATCTACCACAAGGGAAGCTTTTGTTACAAAACTTGCACACATGCTTCACTTCTTGATCTTCTTCCATCGAATTGGATTAAAGCTCAATGAAAAAGAATCAGATCAGACAAACAATAAGAATCGCTGATAATACTCAATCTGGAAAACAACCACAAAAAAAAAAAGAAGCTACAGCTTTGATCTCATTGTACTGAACAACAACTGATCAATGGCTTTTAATCAAACAGAGCAAACAGATCAAGAAACAAAGCTAGAAATTGAAATCTGAGCTGACAATTCAAGTGGGGTTGAGTTTCAATATCTTCTCCAATCTTGAACTGATCGAAGAAGAAAAGAATTTTTGGTCAATAACAAGATCTGATGAGCAGAAGAGTTAGGAAATAGCTGGCGAATATGTAGTGGTAGTGAAGTCTCTCTCCAGCACTAGTAGTAGTAGCTCAATTGGTTAGTTGAATAATAGTATTTGAAGCAAAAAAATTAAATATTAAAAAACATCAAAAAATATGAAGAGAAGGGCTATGCTAAGTTGCTAACCTTGTTGCCAATGATGGCAATGAACTAGCAATCCAACCAGGCAAAAGAAAGAATTGAAAGAGAGTAGTTTATACTCTGTCTTTCTTACATAGGAATAAACACAGACTATATTTGGAGGACAAATCCATGCATGGAGGCAAAGATAAAAAGAGGTAAAGAAGAGATAGATAGAGATAGCAGCACGTGTACTCAACTGAGAATTCTACGCCTACAAATATCCAATGGTTGAAATTTTGTCCAATTGGAGATCCCTATGGCTGAGAAAGCTCCCAATTTTAAACTAAGAGACTTAACTGCTTTCTAACTATTCTTTCCTTTGTCTTGCTAATAAGGAAGCCCAAGACTCCAAGTGATAAAAGGTTCCACTCTCTGGCCGTTATTCTTTTGTTTGTTTTCCTTCTCTGATTATTTATAATATAATCTGTGCCGTTGGATTTTGAGCAAGTACGATTGTGCTGTGTGCAATTCAGTTCGATTTATTTACTTAACACAATATTTGGTGTATAATTATACTATTCCTTCCGTCACACTTTGATAGCATTGATTTTTTTTTTTTCACACAGTTTAACAAAAATTATCTAAATTTATTCGAAGAGTAAATCTGATATACTATTTTCCTAAAATACGCTTACATTGATATCAGGGATATGACTAATTACTATACCTTTACATTAATTACCACAACGATACTATAAAAAGTTGTACCAGTCAAGGTATAAATCAAAGCAATTAATGAATAAGGTAGGTTCTACTTGTTGATAGCAAAATACGTTAAATAAGGGTATTTTATAAAAGTTACAATTAATTATATTTTTTAATTGAAAAGTGGACTATAATTTGAAACGGATGACAAATAAAAACAAAACTATCAAAATGGAACGGATGGAGTAAATTGATATATCTAAATTTATGAAATATTTTATTTTTGTACGTTAACTTTTTATCCAATAAAAAGTTATTGTGTTATTGTACACAAAATATCGAAATAGATACAACATCATAATCGAAACCATTTTGAAACATAACCGTATTAATCCCAATCCCGATAAAAGTACAATGTAAAGATCCACAATGTTGGCAGGTCCCCTTCCAAGGGGTTGCATTTACTGCCGCTTACTTCACTAGCCAATTGGACCAGGCCATGTTATTTCTCCTGCATAGTCTATTCAAGCTTTTGGGGAAGTGATGGCCATGAGCTTAGTAAATTAATACTCCTTGATAATTCATTAAAAGGATGGCCATAAGGTTAGCTAATTAGTACTCCTTTGGTAATTCATTAAAAGAATTTTGACCTGCAAAACTTGGCAGTTAGGAATGCAATTATATCTTTATGATGTCCTAGTTTACAAGTTTACTAATGTATGTATTAGTTGGACCATACATTATACTAGATGTCCTACTGTACATTTTTTATGGGTTAAGATTTCTTAATTTGTATGTTGCAATTTAACTATGTACTAATATTAATTGTTACCTGATTAGTCAAAAGTTGAATTATTCAATTTGATTTTTGAAGGGACTTCCAGTCAATTAAATTCAAGTTGGCATTTGGAGTAGTGGTACAATATGCCTGCAGCTACAGCTTTCTTCGGTTACCACGTTGATTCTAAGTGTTGGCACATTTTTGTTTCTCCTTCCGTTGAAGGCGTTATATTTTCCATTTTGAAATGTTTTAAAATATTTGTCATGTTGGGAAAGTCAAAAAATTTTTCAATCTCTCTTTTAAATATAATCTCCCTTTAATCATATGCATGTTACCATAAGATTCGGAAGAGAAGCACAAATATCACAATCACACAACTATTTTTAAAATATTAATTTCCTGGAACATGATAAAATAATTGGGACGGAGGAATAGGAGTTTGGTCTGAACTTGAAATTAAGAATTAAGCCTTGTGTATGTACAGCCATATAAAATTAAGAATTAAGCCTTGTGTATGTACAGCCATATAAAGACATATTCTTGTAATTGCTTCTACCGCCAAGACCAACGCTGAAGCATGTAATAGTGGCACTTTTAACATCAATTTTTTTCCCCACGCATCTCTCCAAACTCCATGTTCTCATCACAATAAGCTCAAACATCCTTTCTTTTGGAACATTCCTAGTTTTAATCAATCAAACCAAATAACCATTTCAAGTGAGTGAAGCAAAACGTGAGCATTGATCTTTTTTTTTGGGGGTCATCAATTTTATTTCACATACGTCTTATGAAAGAAGGTGCTAAAATAAAATAAAGCAGAAATATTTTTTTTTTTTTTTCTAAGAATCGCAACCCAAACTAAGTCGAGCTCAAGCTCAAACTCCCCAATTCCAATGATGTGTAGTACAAAATAATTTGGAACTGGAGTTAAACAATTTTTAATAACAAATAGGTATGACTAATTTTGGATTTTAGTCCATGGTCGGTATAAACTTGTCACTTGATTGCCAGCAAGAAAAAGCTACTAGAGCATGAGCAAAATGAGTGACCGGCCTTGAGTTCACAATCAGTGCCGGCCTTCATTGCAGTAACCGAAACGTGAATGTCTCATTAGCAACAAATAGTTAATTAAATCTTGGCTATGAAAAATGGATATCCCTTTAGTTGTTGTGCCTCTTTCAGCCGGCAATTTCTCAAAGTTTAGCTGTAAGTTGTCTAGGAAGAGTTGTTTTATATTTGGTTGTTTTAATGAAGAGAAGCACATAGGAATTAGGAAGTAATTACTAGGAAGCAGCAGCACTTAATAAGCTTTTTAAGAGTCAATTCTTTTATGTAGTCTACATGTGCAAGCACATTATGTAAGCCCTCCCCCCACCCATTTGGCCGGTAAAGATACATGCACTATAATTCACTACTACCTTGTGATTAGCTAAAGAATCTTACAAATTGGACAAAATTTCCAAGATTCTAGCCTTTCTTGTACTATAACATGGGCTAAGTAGATGGGAGCAAGAAGAAAGAAGAATAGAATTGACTGAGTAAATTAGAGGATCAACATATATATATATATACATGCTTGGATTTGGGGCAGAAATTGGCCAGTGGTAAAGCAATCTACACTAGATTCTTTGTACACAATTGTGAGTTTTTTAACCTGTTGTAGCTAGTGAGTTTTTTACCTTCTTGAGATTCTTTGTACACAATTGTGAGTTTTTTTAACCTGTTGTAGCTTGTGACTTGTGTTACAACATACCCTACATAATGAACTAAGGGTATTGTTAGAATTTTCAAGATTCATTTCAAAGACGAAGTAATATATTTTTTGCACAAGAATATATGGTGAAAAGCGGATAAAAATAAAAGTTAGGAGAGCAGGCCAGCAGCTGAAGCAACAAGAAGACAGGAATGGGGAGATGGCAACTTCACATGTTGCTTGAAGCTTCCACTTCTAAAGATACAGAAATATCTGGGTGAAAAATCTTTTATGGCTCTATAGGGAATCCTGACAGCCCATTTATTAAGTTACACTGCAAAGCCAAAAGCAACAAACAATACATAATTTAAAGTCTGTTGCTGAAGCTATATATCACCAAATCTTGATACACTAGACCCTTCTTTGAAATTCACTATATCCATTTGGTTAAATTAGAGAGTTGCCCAACCACTTCTCATGAAGTGGTTACACCAATACTAGGGTATCAAGTGTATCCCCTTTTTTGGCTTTTGTACTTGTTTTTGTGCAAATGCAGAAAAGGGAACTCTTTGATTGTTATTACTATTTTTCTCCTGCTTGGACAAGTCGAATACATAGGGTTTATGCTAAACTCGAACTCAAAATCTCTAATTCACAAAAAGATGCTCTGATTTAATTGTATCTCCTTGAATCCTCATTACACATATATAGATGGGCGGAGTTTGGCAAAGGTGCAAAAGCTTTGGCATAGAATCTCCCGCTAGCTTCATAGTGCTAGAGTATTTTACTATACGGTACAACTCAATTTTTGTATCATCCACCTAAACTAACTAGAGGAGGTAAGGACCAAGGACCACTCTCTAGGACATCTACATCCACAAATTCAGTTTTCTACTATTAATAGTCATAGCCAGCTGAAAAATTGCATCTTCAAGCTGATATTAAAAATGCTCATCTACACTTGTTTATTTGTGTAGCACATCCAATTGGCAGAAGTGACTTCACTTGTGAGTGAAGTGTATAGTTTTTCCTAAAAGTGATGCTCAAAATTGACAAGCAGACACCTTCCAAGGAAAGTTTGGCCACTCCTTGTCTTCTCCCATCCCTGGTAACATTATTAAGACTAAGATAAGATGCTCTACTTTGGCTTTATGCTTTGGTCAAGCTTTCTCCCCTATTTTTTCACCCTCCCTCTGTAACCTAACCCCATGGCCACCAGGGTTGGGTGTGAATAACTAGATAGCTATCTTAACCAATTAATCAACTCTTTTACTGCTAGCTAGCTAATCCAGAAAAACCAATTAATCAGACCACTAGACCATTATTTTTCTTCTTCTTTCCTCCTCCATTCTTGTGTCAGCTCGGCCAACTGACTATAGCACTTTTTACCCTCTTTTATCCTTTCTATGCCAAACAAATTAAATTTGAGAACCTTACTAAGTAGTGTGATTTTAATATAATTATGGTAAATTATGCCGGTAGTAGATCTTTGCCGTGGCAAGAAAACGAATTCATGTTTGCATTAGTAATTCTATACAAAGCATTGTTTATTTGACTACATCCATCAATATTAAGTTGTTTGTTTAACCAAAATACTCATTCAACCAATTGGGATATGCTTTTTTTATGACTAAAAGGTATATGTTTTCATCAGTTGAATAATTAAAAGTGAAAGTTTTTATTAGTTGAGTGACCAAAAATTATACCTTTTCTATTAGTTAGCTGACTATTTATGCTAAGCAAAAAGTTTAGTAACCAAAATAAGAATTCTAAATACATTACTGATTTTTTTTCACCATTTGCTCTAAATTCTTAGTAGGCTAATTCACCCTGACTTTAAAATGTGGTAACTTATCCTCTTCGTAAATTTTTAAACTCAAGAGAAAATGGTAATTAAGCTGAAATTATTCAAACAATGAAAGTGTTGATTGATTTTGTTTGTTGTTCTAACACATCCTTTTATCCCAAGTCGAAGCAAGATCTAACAGAAGTCTGTGTGTGCTCTCATTTCAGCCCAGGTGGCGTAGATGAATGAGACTGAGGAAACAAAATAGAAGAGACACGCAATGCCTCACAAGCAAGTGCCTGTCACTGCTTTGCTGTTTCACCATGACCTAGATTATACCAGTCCCCATATAAAAGGATTAGAACATAAGAAAGCCCATTAATCATAGGCATGTCAAGTTTTAATCATGTCATAAATATTTGTCTTGGTGGTTGAGGGAGGGTGGGGAAGGATTCCCTGCTTAATTGCAGATCTAAGTTGAGACAAGTCTGATTGATTGTTAATTTTCATCAAGTTGGAGAAATTATAAGGGCAAGTTAGTACGATGAATTCACAAGAAATAGAAAAAAAATACATAAAATGTATTTAACGGTCCTCTAAATTAGTCTCAAGACTCTCATACTTTGTGTAATTACATGTACATGTTTTATGTTTTTTCTATGATTTATTTTAAAGAGTAGTCAATATTTGAACTCTTGACATCTTACACGAAGAAAATTGACAAAAACAAGGTCTCATGTATCTATCTGTTATGCTAATGGAATACCTTTATCATTTTTCACCACACAAATATATATACTAGCTAGACCAATTGTAAATGCAAGTCAAGAATATGTCTTTTCCCATACTTGTATAGCTATAGATAAACATTTACCATAACAAGTAGATACGCACCATTGTGTCTTTATATAAAAGCCTAATCATAAAGGTGCATGTGTTGCTTTAAACTGGTAATAATGGGGCATGTGTTAGTGAGCAACTAGTCCTCACCTGCAATGCTTAGGGAACACTCAATAGAGACCATAAAAATGCAGAAAAACATTTTGTATTTTGAATAATAGAGAAATTTCTGATGTGGGCTCCATTCTTCACCTAGTCTCCGGGATGGATCATATGGATGCTGATGAAGTGGTTTAGATGAGCTGAGCACCCTTGCACTATCCCTCTTCACTTAGTTTATTTAGTTGCTCTTTCAGCTAGCTAAGCAAGAAATGCCCCTTTACCAGCTGCTTGCATTCTTTGCACAAAGCCATGTGGCTGTTGGAATGAAAAATCTTTTACTAGATGACTGTCACTTCCTTATTTTGGCCAGAATTAAGGCATAGATTTCAATTGACAAAATCACAATTTGAAAGTCAACTTGCTAATGATAATTAATTAGCTCACTATGTCATTATTAAGTGGAAAATTGAGGTCCTAGTGGATATATGCTCCTTATCCATCATCTTAAAATGAAGTTTAATAAAAAAATTGCCTACTTTTCTTTTCCCTCTTGTCCTCCCACCTCCAAAGATTAAAATGCAATTAAAGATTTCTCGCTCGCTCGTAGAGTTGATTGAAGCTTTAGAGATCTAGTAAAGAATTAATTTGTGGGAGATAAGACTACTTTTCTTCTCCTCTTGTTTCTTTTGTTACCGCTCCTGTCAGGAAGAGGAAGGTGGGGTGGAGTTGACGTTAGTGAATATATGGTATAGTATATTAAAAAAAGTGTTTTTCAGTGACTATAAATGAACAACTCAGTCTAAAACTATACATGCTGCAGCTTTCAGTATTACATCAACAACTTGGTAGTTGACCATTAAAATATCTGAAATCTTCTTCAATGACTTTCAATGTGGAAAGTGATCCTGCACGAAAATGATTACTCATAAGCTATTAGCTATTAAGTTAAGTGTTATCAACGCAAAGCACCTGATCATATGCGTAATCAGGACTCATTATGATCTATTTGATTGATCAACAGTGAGTCAATCAGCATGCAAAGGACCGTGGATCTCCATCTTCTAATCCAAAAAAATATGATAATGTGAGACCTTAAAGTTTTCCTAAGAGAACTAGGGTGACTAAATTATATGTGTGAGCCTAATACTGATGTACAACTTGACATATCTGTTGTGAAAAATAGTGGTTGTATCGTACTTGGATATGATATTTGAGTCACACTACATATATAGCAGTAGTTTGAATGATACTTTTCTTTCTAGTGCACATAGGACATGTAGGGGTTGCAATTATAGCCTTGCTTCTTCTCTGATTCTTTGAATAGGGAAAAGTTGTGGGGAAGTGATACATGCATATGTATATTGCTACTCCGGTAATAAAAGCATCTTTTAAATGGCTAGCAGGAACATGAAGTGCGAGTCTTACGCACTTTCATTTCAAATGAAAATGATAGATGGCATTAAGCCCACGTCTAGAATAACTTATTCTTTGGTGCAGCTCCGTATTTGCACAAAAAGTTTGTAAACCCTTCCAATCCAGCAAACATCGATCCTTATGACCAAGTGTAAGTTTGTACCACTCTTTGTCTAGATGCATTTGACAGGTAACGTAACCAGAATCTAGTGTCAAATTGGCACTCTTACTCTGAAAAAGTTGGCAGATGATGTAACCAAAATCTGGTGGCAAATTTGCAGCAATCTGAGATGCATATTATCAGGTGTAAAAATTACATGCACATGAATACCAAACCACGTTTTTCTAGCACTCGTATTTGTGCGTTTAATACTAAGGTGATGACCAAATACCCAGCTTTTGCACTTAAATTTCCGGTTGGAACTGTTAAACTTGCTCTGCACTGTGTAGATCAGTGCTTGCAAATTCGCTCTCTGCAAACATACAAGCGGTTCACTTTGTTCAATTGAATAACTTCATGATCCTATGAGTGATGTTTCCCCAGTCATGTTGAACAAGAGGAGTTAGCTGAGCATTATACTAAGTTTCAACTCGTCTTGTACAACTCAAAATTTCAAGTGGCATAACTGCCTGGTAATGAATTATTTATTAGACAATGTCAAAATTACAACCTTGAAAGGCACATGGCCATGTGGCCTTTCCTCTAAAGTCTCTATCAGATTTTGTGCTTTTGTCTATGCGCATAGCTTTCTGAAACAAGATATCTACTAAATCTATCTGTGGAGCAGTATATACACTTCCAGCAGCTGTTCTTTAGGTATTGATCACCTCTGCACACTGGGATGTCAACTCCAAGCTGTCCTAGCCATCTCTAGTCTCGTGAATTCCAAGCTCCAGCACCGAAGACTTCTTCAATCACACTGGACGTCGGAAGAAAATCTTCATCCTTGGGGCAGGTCAAACAACCAACATCCCATTCTTTGGAACTACATGGCTCTAAAAAAAGTTCATTACCAGTACTGCTGCTCATACTACTAAGGTCGCTAGTTATATGTTTTGTATTTTGATTTCCACTTATGTCAGAAAGGACTTGGTCAAGTGGCTGATGCGCTTGATCTGAACTGCAGTTATCAGGCATGTCAATCGGACACATGTCTGACTCTTTACTGACACACTTACTGCCATCCAGGTTCAGCCTTATATTATCTTCTGAAGCTTCCTCAGCATTGATGTCATCCTTGTATTCACAGAGATTGTCTTCAAAGATCTCATTATGATCATCTTCCTCGGCAGGTGATTCAACCAGAGAGTCATCATACCCATTTATTTTTTCTATTACTTCATCAGCAGAAACATTAGTTCCTTCCCATTCATCATTGTCGCTGTCAATACTCAACACATCAATTCTGTTCTGTTCAGCACGTCTTCGTAACATAAAGACATTAAAATAATAGCTAACTATTTCCTTCTTGGTCCTAGAAGGAAATTCAATAGCTAAATGGTTCCAAAAGTTCCTCCCCAGTGATGCAGGATGGGAAAATACAACCTCAGTAAATATTTCCTCTTCCTCCTCGCTCCATTTTTCAGCCACTACCTCTCCCACTTCCAAAAAACCCAACTTGACAAAAGCCTCCTGGCCAAGGGTTTTCCTGAGTTTTTCTCGTGCTTCAGTGATGTGTTGCCGAACACATCTAACGGATCCCACATCATCACAGGAACAATCAATTCTTCCATCTCCAAGTTTCTCCACAGTGTCTTCAGACATGTCTGATCTAGGCATGGGAACTAGACAAGAACCAGAAAATTGCCTCTCATGGTCTAAATGATTACCAATATCTGACATGAGAGATTGGGATGAACGGTTGAAGACTTCAAAAGCATCTCCTGATGAACTGGACAACTTTTCATCATCACACCCACACCATTCAGGTATTTCTGCTTGAAAACCACTGCCAATGGGGACCAATTTCCGAGGAGGATATTCCAAAAGAGAAGAATAAATATCTCCGGTATGAAAAATGGTCCTTGCTGGAAAGTCAAGATTATAATGGTCTGGAGACAGCAATATGCAAGGTGCCTCCGACCTGACATCTTCTTCACAGGTAGTGCTTGTAGCCCAGGAAGAGTTGGAAATGGAGCAAGCCAGACTTCTATCTATTTCTTTCTCAACATAACTTTGGAATTCAGCAAGATTGCTGTCTACAAGACTTTCATCCCTTTCACCTTTCTTTTTATCGCAAGCAGCCCCATCTTCACCTACCCACATATTAAGACTGGTAAAAAACATAAAAGTACTGAAAGATAAGCATAAATATCGTACAAATATTAGCAAGCATCTAAAACAGATAGAAGTAAGAATTTAGCTTCAGAAAACAGTACTGAACTCTCCTTAGTGGGTCCATTCTTAAGTAGAAGAATAAGAGCTCAACCCACAGAGACAGAAGAAATTCATAGAGTAAAAGCTCTGAACTAATGTCCAATGCCATGCAGGTTTCTTGTTAAACCAAGGCATAAATTAGCCAAAAACATTTTGGCCAGAAGAACTTTATCAATCACTATCTTCTATACAAGTAGCTATGTGCAAAAAAGGCCACAAAGAACCAAGACATTCAATGCAGATTTTCAATAATATGGAAAACTGCTGAGAAGCTTTAGTTCAGAAGCAGATAAACTACTCTCATTTGGTTCTAGACAATAATACAGTGATACAAGCAGTCCCCTACATCAAGCATCTTCAAACGTTGATAGAGACTTCTTCGCACCTAAAATATGAAGCTTTGGAGGGATATTTCCATCAGGGAACTCTAAAACTGACACCCTCTTGTCACTTGGCTCCAGAAGCTTCGGTTGCTTAGACAAGGCCTCATATAACTCCTCACTAAGTGGTCGTTTTTGTACCATATTTAACTGCAAAAGGAGTTGAAACAATGTAAACTACTATGCACAAGAAAAAAGTAGAATAACTAAAGCAAAAGGGCATTCACTGGCATAGAAGAGGTAGATCAAGAAACAAAGACCCACAGCTCCATTTAGCACAATAAGGGCACAATAAAGGCAAGAAGCTTGACATATTTCTCAAGGAAAATGTACCGTAAAGGGCAATTTGAGCTTGAAATATATAATAAAGGCAGTTGAAAACCATATAGCAGACTTTGATTCAGTGAAAGAAAAGGAAAGATTGCATGTGCCAATCACAAATGAAAATTAGTACTATGAGTCTCACAAGCGGCACTGCAACAAACACAACAGCTAAAAAGGACAAACTGAGAAGTAATTCAATTTCCATCATCCATAAAGTTGGGTGAAAAAATGAGTTCGTTTCACGTCATGGTTACTGCACCAATGCACCAAATCCAAAAACATCCTATGCTCTGTACTAACTCCACAACACCATGAAACATGATCATACGCAACAACCAAAATGCTCAGATGCAAGAAGACGTCCTACTACCCAAAATTTCAGATCGACAAAACCATCCATTTCATGAAATAACATGACACGTGCAAGCCTCCTTCCAGCCATTGCTCTCTTAGCCTTTTTCCGGCAAGAAGTCAGAGACGGTTTCACACATATCAGTTTTTTCAAAAAATTTTAGTAAATTTGCCACATAATCGAGAAATTTTCACCAAACACTTTAATAATAAGTCAAAACAATTATTAAGCATGTTTTTACAAGGATAATGACACCAGCATCCACAATCACTCTCAAACAAGTTCCAAAATCTAATTCTCACAACAGCAGGCAGCCCACTTATGCTGAGCAATATATAGTGTGACAATTAAGACTAGTCCATGGTTGAATTAAGATCATTTACTAGGAAAATTATAAAAGATAAGACCACTTGACTAGCCTTCCAATCTGTACATATGTCATCAAGAATTTAGTAGTTTGAAAGCTCTCGCAATTAGTTAAGTTGTTTTGATCCAGCATGGATGGTACAATTGAGCCAATGATTTGCGAGCACCGTCTTTTTTTGTTTATTTTTTGGGATAAATGAGTAACAGCATCTGAACACGTGGCAAATAAACCTCAGCTAGATTAAAGCCGACAGATGGCAGGTATTTATTGCACAAAAGGAGTGCCCAAATCATTTTCTGAACATTAATTAATAAAAAACAAAACTCATTCTCAGGATAACTAAAAAAAAGTCTTAAAAAAAATCATTCCCAGAATTGTCAGAAGAAGAAAATGAAAAAAGATTCATTTACCTTAACAGTGAAAAAAACTTGCTTCCTCGAATGAAATAGCAGATCTTGTAGATTTTAAACCAGAATCAATCAATCAGCTGATTTTTTCTATAACTTCAAAATGAGATCTTCAATTTCGCCAAAATGATTTTCCAAAACCAAGATTAAAAAAAAAAAGAATAAATAAATCGAAACCCTAACCCTATATCCCCAAAATTTTTTCGACAATTTTTACAAATTAAAGAGCAACCCACCGACATAAACAACTTTTCCAACAAATTCCAGAAATGAATTTCAAAGATCTTGTGAATCGAACAGAAGAAATAGTTTTATAAATTCAATAAAAAATAACTATTTACTTGCTTTTAGGGAAAATTGCACGAAAGAAAAGATCAAATTTTTATCAACAGAGAAGGATGAAATCAGAGTAGAAAAGAGAACCCGGATGAAATTTTGTTAATTTACAAAGAAAACAGAAAAACTAAATAGATCTGACGAAGTTTAAAGAAATCTGAAACCCTAACCCTAGATCTCGAATTTTCAGTGGCTGAGGCTAAAAGAGGTATCAATCGACAGAGGAGAACGAGAATCGGAAGAATCGGATGTCGAATTGTAGATTGAGAGAGAAAATCGAGGCGAAATTTGGACGAGAAAAGGAGAGAGAAGAAGAGATCGAAAAAGAGGGTTACGGGGAGCAAATTTGTTGACTTGACTTAAAAGAGTAAAGCTAGGGTTCGGAAATTATGGAGACCGGGCGGTCCGAAAATAGAAGTACATCGGATGGACTAAAAAGGGCTCCGATTTTTAAACTAATTACGCCAAGTGCCGCTGAGATTTGTGCGTTATTCAAAGCTGTTGGCTGTTATAGGCATAGGGTGATTTTCGCAAATTCACAGAGGAACTGGTGGTGCGCCTATAATAATCAATGGGCTGTAAGTACATGTGAGAAAATGGTTGGCGTTACCTCTTTTGGGGCACATAATAAAGCAAAACAACGGATGCCACGTGGAAGCTGTCATGATCTTTGACTTTTCATTTGACTTTGACCTCAATTTGACACGAGGGAAAATTAAAATATAAGAAATGCTATAATGAGAAATTTTGGGGAATTGTTTATATTGTACTAGATGGGATTTTTTGAGTAGTTTTTTTTTTTTAGCGTAGTTTATTATAATTAGTATTTAAAACACACACATCAATATATGTGCAACTAATAAAAGAAATTTGTGCCAAATTTTTTATCATATTTGAAATCATTTTCAAGAGAATTAATTTTATATTGTAATAGTAAATATTTAGAAAATTTATTAAAATAAAATATATAAACAAATAATTAATTAGTGGTTATTCATAACCATAATTACCCTCCTTGCTTAGCTTCGAAAAAGTTGAAGCAAATTAGGAGCGCTTAAACAAATGCACATTATAGATCGTGTTTTATTTTATTTTATTATTTTTTTTGAGCCACGTTATAGAATTTGACTACCCCTTCCCGAACGTAACAAGGAGATGGGAATGGTATGACCGTCAGTGAGAACGCCTTATGTAGTTGGTTCATCAAAAACAAAATTTGAAAACCTCCGATTTGAATTTTTGTGGTATTAAACATCAATCGGTACCTATGAACCATCCCTAACCTAAATAGGACATGATATTTTAAAATTTTCATGAAAAAATATTTACAAGCTATTCTTTTTCTTCTTTATTTCTTGAAAATATTGCAAGTTATTTTTAATAACCTAAGCCCTTGTTTTTTCTTTTTTTTTGGCAAACCCCGTACAGGGGGAAAGGACACCACTCCTGATTGTTATTAATGGTTACTCAAAAAAAGAAATAACTGGTACAGAAGAAAAAGTTGTAAACAAGGAGTACTACTCTCTTACATGGACACGTCAAATTGCTGCATAAGTGGTTATGTCTAAGACTGATAGAGATTGGATATGATATGGTAATTGTGCTAGGGAATAAAAAAAAACTGTGCTCCATACTCGGTAGTCCAGCCAGTGCATCTGCAATTGCGTTCGCCTCCTTTACAGATGTGCTACAACCTAAGCCCTTGTTGGAAAGTTATTTTCCTCCCAAAAAATTTTTACATTTTTCGTGAACTCATTTCCTAATCACTTTTTTATTTCACATACATCAAATCGTTGCAATATATTTGTCTAAAAAAAACTTTAAAAATAGCAATCCAAACAAACTCTAAAACTTTCTAATGATGATAAAAAAATTGGAAATTGTACAAGATTATATCAAAAATAAACCAATAGTTTGAAAATCAATCATAAGATGGCTATTTGGCTTTTCACTACTAATTACTACATCAAATGTTTCGTGGCCTAATGCTCATATCACAGGCGTTCTCCTTTTTTGAAAGGTGAACATGGTCATAATCAAATACGATCATGTTAATGCATCTATATGCTATGACTAAGAGTTAGAACTATATATTATATCCTTTGTTCTTGGGAGTGAAATATATAGTGTCATAAGATGATAAGATTGGTAATGAATGCTCCAAAGGTTGCAACCAACAGGGATTGATCCAATAAAGGACCTTGATTTATTGATAATTGATGCTTTATAATAAATAGGTTTATCTATATTAACCTGTAAAATCGAAACCTAGTGGACTAAGTAGGAAAGGAGTTCAATTTTATTAAAATGACCGTAATGTTTAATTAACCATCTGGTTTTTGATTATCTAAGAAATTTAATCACGACTTTATATCATTAACATTTTAAGCTGTTTAACCGGCCAAATTAAAGAAGAAGTACACGGATGTTGTGTCTTTGGCTAAATTGATGACAATTTTTCATAATTATAATGAGCACTAACTAGCCTATTGATAGTTCTAGCTGATATTTAGGTTTTTGCTTGTTCTAATTTCTTAATTATTAGTGTAAAAGTTTTTTATATAGAAAATAGTAGGTTTGGTAGTATGACATAGAAAGAGAATAATTAAAATTTGAATGGAGATTATTAATTAGTGTAAAAAAGACTTATATTGAATGGAGATGGTTGATTAGTGTAAAAGAACTAAGGTTGATTAGTGAATGGAGATTACTTTTGGACTTCCTACTATTGTTCACAGTTATATTTTGTACATTTTCTAATGTAATAAAACTACTATCATATTCCATTTACCATTTATTCCAATCTTTTTATTTTTCTTCGTTTCTCATTTTCATAGTCCATCTTACATTTGATATTTTAATCTTTTCTTATTTACTTTTACATTTGTCATTTTGGCCCCCCCCAAAAAAAAAAAGAATAAACCAATACAAGATGTCGTTATAATATAAATTCCTTGCCTTTTAAAAATGGGATAATTTCAAAAATCTCCCCTAAGGTTCCTGACAATTTCATTGCCCTCCTCCAAGATTTTAAAATATCACTTAGCTCTGCTGTCAGTCAATTGGGATTGAATGCTTACCTCATGGATGGTCAAATGACTTTATTACCCCTACAACTTAGGAAATTTTACATAGTTATATGGAAAGAAATAATTGAGTCACTTGTACTACCATAATTTGGAATGTAAAAAAATTTGAAAATCTTGAATACCAAGTTTTGTAATGATAATTGTTAACATTTTAAAATTCTATTTCTAAATTTTAATAGTTCTTGTAATTTCTTCCCCCTAAAAGAGATTAAAATTCCTATTGAGATATTATTATTTCAAAATTTTTTCATAAGAATAACAAGATGAATACGAACATACATGAAATAAAAAGGGATAAATTTTTAAAATATGTTTACAATTAGATTTTATTAAGTTATGGATAACGTGTAACTATACATAATCTATACTTTCCTGCTTTTCCAACATATTTATTTTTTTTCCTTTTCTTTGTATATGTAATCCCAACAAGAAAGTTAAAAATGATTTTCTCCACTTTGATTTACTTATTTTTCCATTAAAGTCATTTCCATTCTATTCATGCAAACATTGCTTGAGAGTTGTTATTTTTTGTGACAAATGATAGAAATTTCTTAGTAATCATGTAAAATAATGGACCTTGTAAGTGAAAGAAATAATTCAAAAACACATATTTTAGCATATTTTATATTTTTTATTTATTGTGGCATTTTTCTTAAAGAGGCCATATTTTGTCTTGTCCAATTGTTGTTCAAAATCTTCCAAATTCCACTACTAAGAATTTAGGAATTCTATGTATAAATGTGGATTCTAAATTAATAAAATTTCCTCTCCAATTCTTTGATTTTGCGAGCCATTGTTAATAATTCTACTTGGCTCATGCTACTGTTGTAATTTGCCTCACTTACATTGACACTTTCTAACAATAGTTTTTATTTTCTATTCTTAACTAATATTTTCTTTTGATTCTAAGTCAATCAACTAGTAATAAGTTGAGGGACACTTTAGTATGAAATATTCTTCTCACTCTTCTAATCATTTTTTATTATTAATTTTAATACAAAAAAAATAGAAAACAAAGATCAGCAAAAATATTGGATTACATATAAAATTAATTCGTCAAAAAAATCACTAGTTTGACATTTGATTATAATAAAAACCTAGAGGCAATAATGGTAGTTCTACAATTTTATTGGCAAAAAATTTTAAAAAAGGAATAAGAAGGAAAAAGAATGAAAAATAATTTTAAAACTCATTCTAAGTATAAGCATACGC